TTTTTTTTTTTGTTTTTACTTGGTTGAATAATGTTTTAGATTGTTGAGCACTGTTGTAGGTATTCTAGGTTGCTTATGGTGGTCTGACTAAATATCTATGCTAGGTTGCTTATAAATACGTATTCTAGGTTACTTATGGTATTTTGATTAAATATATTTTAGGACGATGGAAATGAAGATGAAGTAAGTGAAGCCAATGATGATGGTAATGATGATGGCCATGGTGACCGTGTCGAGAAGTGATAGATATGAGAGAAAAAGACCAGTGCGAGCGCAATGCTCTCTCCTTAGTAGTAGGTTTTTGCCTTTTATTGTTGCACAATGATCTTTTTAATTGTAATTTGTTTACTTTATCTAAAATTGTCCTAATTGAAAGTAAATGACATATATATATGATTAAATGTGTTACATGTTCATTTGGAAAAAAAGTTACGTGTGGTTGAATGATAAAAATGTTGCAATAAATCAAAGAGTGTTACAAGAAATTGATACATATTGTTGGCAGAGTGTTACATGAGAGTTATATGTAGCAAATGCAAGTTGATACAAGGTGGTGTTGCAATATGAAAAGCTACATCAGATTAATTAAAGTGATACAATTGATTTACTGAATGCTACTCTAAGTAAAAAAAGTGTTACAAGAAATTGATACATATTGCATAAAATGTGTTAGTTAAGGGTTATATGTAACAACTCAAAAATGATACTAGTTAGTGTTACAATAGATTATTTAATGTAACATTTATAATAAGTGTTGCTTAATATTACACAAGTGTTAGATAAAAGAATAGGTAACAAGGGCAACTGTAGCACGCATTAAAATGTTACTTATGATCTATTGTAACATATTTTTGAGATTACGTAATGCTTAATCGAAGCTACATAAAGTTATTTTTTTTGTAGTGATATATGGGGAGAATCTAGAAATTTACGTGAGTGAGTGGGGGCCCAAGTTATTTGGAAACTAACATTCAAATTTTAAGATGGAATTACAAAATAAAAAAATAAGTTGCCTATATAAATCTTTTTCAAAAAATCTCATCTCATTTTCATAGAGATGAAAAAAAAAAGGAAAAATAAATGAGATAAATTTTAAGTTGTTATTAAATAGAAGATAAAAATGTACATGTTAAAATTGATGTGATTTAATGACTAGGTTATTGAATTAATATTATTCTATTAAAAAGCAAAAAAATAATAATATTTTTGTTTTAATTATTTTACTGAGAAAATGTGAAACAATATAAATATTTTTATGAAAAAAATATTTACTTAGTTTCAACAAGATAAATTATGATTGAATGAAAATAGTTGGAAAAAAAATTCATAGATCAAACCGATGTTTCTCTTTTCTTTCTTTTATATTTATAAAATAGATTAAATATTAAAGTCATAAATTTATATTTTTAAAATAGATTAAATATTAGAGTCATAAATTTAGTTTAAAGTGTTATGTGTGGAAACTTATTTGATTATTTTAATTATTAACTAACTAAAAATTTTGGAATCAAATAAACACAAATAAGAAAGATTTTAATTTGTTCTCCTTACTAAGTAAATAAACAATTATATGTCAAATTCAAATGTAACCAAAATAAGATAAATAGTGTTGATTTCAAAATAAAATTAAATGACAAATAACTATTGATGGAAAAGCAAAACCCATTTTATAATTTGGGGAAAGACTTTCCAAGTACATCTACACTAGGTAAATTGATTCTGGTGAATCTATATATATAATTGTTGGCATGTAGCATTTAATAAAACATTTAATAAAACCTCTAAAATTTTCTCTCCATTTTCGGTTACAAAATTTGTCATTAATATTTTTTACTTCTCACATTAATACATTTTAATGAGTGAATTCTATATGTTTCTATATTATATAATAGTTATTTCTAATACCAACTAATAATAATTCACAATAAATATAAATTACATAATTATAAATAATTTTTTCAAGTTATGTATTTTAACATCAATATTATCTTTTTCTTTTGTATCTCATAAAAATAAAAATTTAAAAACAATTAGTAAATTATTTTAATAGCATAGTTAAACAACTTTAGAATCTTATAAACAATTATTTTTTAATAATATATTATATATATATAATTACTAGCTTAGCATTTAATTTTACTTATTTAATAAAACCTCTAAAATTTTTCTCTATTTTTAGTTACAAAATTTATCATTAATACTTTTTTACTTCTCACATTAACACATCCTATTAAGTGTAATCATGTATTTTTCTATTATATTATATAATAGTTATTGCTAATACCAACTAATAATAATTCACAATAAATATAAATTACATAATTATAAACAATTGTTTCAAGTTATTTATATTAACATCAATATTATCATTTTCTTTTGTATCTCATGAAAAAATTTCTTTAAAACAATTAGTAAATTGTTTTAATAGTATAGTCAAACAACTTTAAAAGCTTATAACAATTGTCTTATTAATAGTAATAATGATAATAAAAATAATAATAATAATAATAGTAATAATAATAATAATAATAATAATAATAATAATAATAATAATAATAATCAAATTGTTATTATCTAATGATAATAAACAATTGTTCCTAATAATAAAATCGTTAATTTATTTTTCCAAATGATCAAATTTTTGAAAATGTAATATATTCATTATCTAGAATTTTAATATTAAATTTTCAAATATTACTTACTAATATTTTATGTACATTTGTGCATGTGCACAGGATATTCTACTAGTTTATGCATAATTCTAAGTACTCCTTGAACTTTTTTTTTGTCCCTTAGTGGATCCGCCACTGTTTATATATGTATACAAATTAATCACTATACATGTATACAAATTAATCATCTTTTAACGAGTTTCGCTTTGACTATATTCGTATTCCATACATAAAATAAATAATTATATTTGTCAGTATAATAAAATCTAAGCTATCTATTAATAGCAAATGGAAAATAATAAATTTATAATTATATTTATCATTATAATAAAACCTAAGCTATCTATTAATGGTAAATGGAAAATAATAAATTTATTTATCGATTAAATAAATTTCTCTATAAAGTTATTAAATGATATGAGTTAAAAAAAATTATTATTATAATATAAGACGAGCAAATCGTACAAATAACACATTTTGTTTAAATTTAAGTATAAACATCTTAATTAACAGTTTAACACTCGTATACTACAAGGTGTTTTGTACTAAAAATCTAGTTTAACCTAAAAGTCATCATACTCTATAAATAGTGAGAGCTTGTTGAGCAACTATAACATACTTATTTTTCGGGAAAATTTTATAATTGTCCCATTTATAATACACAATTCTACAAACGTCAAGAGTTATGATGAATTCTAAAAAGGGGTATGATGAATTCCAAAAATACTTGAATAAGAAGTTACATTAATCAAAATTCAAAAAAAAAAAAAAACAACTTCTTTTTTTCTCTCTCTTTCTCTTTCTCTTTTTCCTTCTCTCTCTTCCTTCTCACATTTAGTTTTTTGCTTTGTTCTTCTTCTTCTTTTTCTCCTCCTCCTCTTCTTCTTCTTCTTCAAACATAAAAACTAAAAAAAATAAACAAAAATAAAAGAATGATCAATTAGTACTAATACGTCTGCAATATGATTTGATTTCCATCAATTTCTGTCATTTCTTTTAATCTTAAAAAAAAAGAAATTAAAAATTACAAAATAAACATATATTATAAGAGGTCTGAAATTAGATATATTCAAAGTCGAAGAAATATAAACAAGATAATGAGCAACAACTAAGTAATAACATAACAACTAAAAAACAACAAGAAAACAACTTTAAGTTAACCAAATAGGAGGGAGATGGAGAAAGGAACTAATCACTGTGATGCATGAATATTTATAGCCCATAACAACAAATTCTAGATGTTCATAAAAACTTGATTTTCGGGACACATAACAACAATAACTCATCACACAAAAATATATTTTAGTCATTTTCATGCCAAAATCTAATTTGAGTCGCAACCTCAAATGAATAAGAAGACCTGAAACCATATCAAGACATGTCAAAATGGACAAATCGAATTCACCACAACATTTTTCAAGGACTAATAAAAAAACTAATTGTATAAAAAAAACCCAAAAAAAAAAGTAATGGAGGTAGGCGAAAGACAATTTCCTCTATCTTAAATCTAATCACGATAACTGAAAACCATTAAATCCCACAAATTAAAGGAGAAAAACAAATACAAAAAATAAGGATTTAATTGATGAAACACAAAAAAGAAAAAAAAAATTAATTGGGTGATTGATTTTACAAGGTCTTGTAGCTGGCTTCGTGCCGTCATTGGCGAGCCTGAAAAGGGGTTTTTTTACGGGTCTCTTTAGTTCTCTTGCCGTCGTTGGATTTTGGCGGAACTTGAGATGGATTCATCTTCTTCTATTTCTGAACACTCTTTTAACGGTACACCCGACGGCGTCGAAGACAGAGGAAGGTGTTGGGGATGAAATAGTCCATCGATCGCCATCTAGGATTGAATTTTTTGGGGATAGAATTGTTTGGAATTTATTTTTCAAAAATGGAGAATTGAATTAGATTTATGATGGAGATAAAAAAAAAGAATGAAACTGGAAAGAAGGAACCAAGAAGATAGGTTAGACACGTTCATTTAAAAGAGAGAAAT